GCCGGGCTGGCCGGGTCCCCAGGAACAGGTGACATGGCTGGCCTGGTGGAGGGAGGCTCTCTGGTTCTCTGCTTGCCTGACAGGATGGAAGCAGATGTGATGCCTCTCAAAGCTGCTTAGGTCTCTGGGAGAGGGGACTTTGTGGTGGCCTCAGGAGGTCTGGCTTGTGCTCGGCCGGGCCAGGCAGTGGTAGTGATGAGTGTGGCTAAGAGCTGCTCCTTGAAGCTTCTGGTTCCCGAGTGGAGGCTCTCATGCAAAGAAAGCAGTGCCTTCCCCAAAGCTGGACACCTGGGGAGCCCCCTTCCGGGGGTGAAGAAAGGCCCTCCACCAGGCCTCTACTGCACCTTCCGGCAAGATCTCCCCCAGCCCCATCACACCCAGGGACCCCTGGGGGAGGGAGGAGCTCAACTCGGAGCACCTCCCGCCTGCCCTGCAGGGGCCCCTCCGGGGCCTGGGAGCACAGCGCCCCCTGGAGCCACACGGCCGGGGAGGAGCGTGTGCCCCGGGTCTGAGGCGTCCAGTGTGCCAGGTAAGGGGTGCCTGTGCCCCTCCAGAGCAAAGGCGGGGCAGGGCCTGAAGGCCTGGGCAGGCGGCTGTGGGCGGCTCCAGCCCTGCCTTGGGGCTGTGCTCTGGGACCGTGGGAATCTGGGCCTCGGGGGCCTGGCTTGCTGAGGCCTGCGCCGTTCTGGGTAGAAGTGGGCTGGGCGGGGACAGGACGCCAGGGGACCCTGGAGAACTCGTGGGCGCCCTGACCTCAGACCCAAACATCTTCACTTTCACTGAATCGCAGATAATGCGGCTCTTGATTCTGTATTTTAGACAATTGTGAGGAGTTAGGCCCAGGGGAAGTTTGACCAAATTTGGGAGTTCCTGGGGGGGCTTCCTGTCTGGGGAGAAAGCTGACTAGCTAACAGGACGGGGACACAGAAGGAGGCAGGGGAGGGGCCAGGGTTCAGACTCCTAAGAGCAGCGAGCAATGGCCTAGGCACCAGTTGGGGACCCGGAGTGCAGGGCGGTGCCTGACCTGGGCCAGGCAGGACTTTCCTGGGCCGTGTCTGGGAGGGGAAGACATCCGGGGGCTCTTAGCTCCCAAAACATAGGGCAGAATGGATTCAGGATTGGGGAACAGGGACAGAAGCCTCTGGTACAAGGGGCTGTAGGGTTTTAGAGGTGCGACTCCCAGAGGCAGAGGGATGGACCGCATGGGGAGCTTGATTTTGTATTTTAGACAGTTGGGAGGCCGCCTCTGGGTCTGAACTTTACCCACACAGGGAGAGCCCTGCAAGGAAGACTCGTAGGCGGGTCAGGGTGAAGCGGGGCTCCGCCGAGGGTCCTGTCTCTTCCCAGGGGAGGGAAAGGGAAGCCCACGGTGGGACCCGACATGGTGCTGCTCAGCCGATTCCTCTTCTCGTACTTGGCCAGGGCCTGCCTCCTGCAGCTTCCGCCGTGGGGTGGAGAAGCCGCAGTCCTGGGAAGGAGCACCCCGCACTCGACCTGGGCACTGTTCTCATCGCGAGCTGCGGGCTGCTGCCCTGGGTGTGCAGATGGACCCAGATCCCTGCAAGCAGAAACCACACAGAGTGACCTTTGTGCGGTCAGCTGACCATGACCCTCGGAGTCCTAACTTGATGGGTGAGCGGCTGGCCCCGGCCCTGCCTGTGCTCCAGGGGTCTTGGAGGGGCTGAGCCTGCCACTTGCAGCGTCCCTCCGCAGCTCTATCTCTGCACGCCTGCCCCTTTTCAAACCTGCCTCCGTGAGGAACCGGAGCTGGGCAGGAAGCAGGACCCTGTCTGGGTTTTGGTTACCCCTTGCCCAGCTCACAGCTGCCCGGGAGAGCCCGAGCAGAGCTCCTGGCCCTCCGTACGCCCACGCCCAGGCTGTCTCTGTGCTCCAGCTCCTATCCCTGAATTCCAGACTTAAACCCAGCTGATGGATACCCCCCCCCTTAGGAGCCTAGTTGACGTCTCAAACTGAGCATGCCCCAGACTGAGCCCCCAGCTTTGCTTCTCCCCCAAACCTGCTCCCCATCTCAATGAATGCAACTCAATCCTTCTGGACCCTGAGGCCAAAAATCCTGACATCTGCCTTTCTCTCATGCACCTTGCACGTCCCTTTTCCTACCCGGCCTGCCTTCCAAACAGGCACAGCCTCTGACCACAAGCTCTTACCTTCCCTGGTACGAGCCACCACCGCCCCTCCCCAGGATTATTCCCAGGCAGCCCTTACCGTGCCCCACCTCCATGCCTCTCTGTTCTCAGCTGGGCAGCCAGAGTGGTCTTGTTGGAAGTCAGATCCCACCGTGCTTCTGCTCAGAGCCCACTCGGGGCCCCCGCCCCATCCAAGCAGAGCCAGGTGCTTGCAGGAGGCCTGACAGAGCCCTGGGGACCTGTCCCATCCCACCCTGCTTCATCACCTCGCATTCTTTTCTTGCTCCTCCCACTCTAGGTGCCCAGGCCTCTGCTGCCGTGAGCATGCCGGGCATGGTCCCGCCTCGGCCCCTCTGCATGTGCTGTTTCTTGGGCCTAGACAGCTCTTTCCCCACCTATCTGTATGACTTGCCCCTCATATCCTTCAAGACCTCTCAGATTCTATCTGAGATTTTCTCTGACCTCCTGTGTATGTCTAAATACAAACCTCTAGGAGCAAACACTAAAAGAATTCCTTTAGAAGGATCCGGGATAGTAGTTCCTGTGCAGACCCCTCGGCGTGGGAGCTCCGCATCTGTAAGCTCTGCCAGAATGCCTTCACATAGAAGGTGCTCAACAAATGTACGCTGACGGGTGAACGGGTCGATTTCCTACCATGTGCCAGGGCTTATTCTAATTTCTTCTGTGACTTAATTAATTTAAACCTCATAACAATAGTAGATACTATGATTATTATCCACATGTTAAGATGACAGAGCTGAAGCTGGGGGCATTTAAGTTTCTTAAGATTGCTCTTGACACGCATTAGTTCCTTCATCCGTCCTGACAGTAACAGACACTATCATCTTCCCATTGTACAGTCGAGGGAGTTCAATTGCTGGAGCCCCCAGGGCTAAAAGGGCAGAAGAGCTGAGCTTTGAACTCAGGTGGCTCGATGTCTGCCTGCCTTGCTGTGGTGAGACGGCCTGGACTCAGGCCTGTGGCCCGCGCTGCTCCAGCCCGAGCGCTGCACGTCTTTATCTTGCTTCATCCCCTCCTGACACCCTTGGGGTGCACAGGCTGTACGCTTAGCCCCACCCCCCAGCCTCAGCATCCACACCTGGGGGCCTCCTCAGGACTATCCCAGCCCAGTCGACAAGGGAGGTTCCAGGGCTGACGTGGGGTTTCACGTCCAGTCACATTCAAGAATGTCGAAGCCTCTCCAGGATGGCTCCGCAGGGGTGGTCGCTGCCCATGACTCACAGTCCTCACTTTCCAGTTGCTCCTCCAGCCCTGGCCGTGCCTGAAGCAGAAGATCTCTTGACTGAGTCCCCACATGATTCCTTTCCACTCAGGCTTCTGAGTCTACACTGGGCCATAGGCCTGGAGACGCTGGTTCTTGGCGCTGGGACACCCCCACCTCCCCAGGCCCCTGATGGGTTCCAAGCCTTCTGGGAAGAAGGCTGAGGGTAAGGTGGCCCCACTTTCCTAGTCCATCTGAGAGAATCGACCAAATTCCATCCCTTTGCAGGACTGCGCCAGTCAGAAAGAGAAGCCTACCAGTTCGTGCAGGAATTTCTAGAACAAGAACAGGTGGTAAGGAAATTCCCTGGAAAGTTTTGAGAGCAGAGGAAGGAAGTAGAGAGAATGACCGTGCATGCCTCCTTGGGTTTTGAAAACCAGCTCCGGCTTGGGGAACACCTGAAAGGCAGCCCTCCCCAGAGGGCCGCAGAGGGGCTGGGACAGTGGCGAGCGTCAGGGGATGAGGGCACTGCGCTGAGGGGACCCAGGGGGCTCTGCGTGCCGGCAGCGCTGAGGCCTGGGCTGCGTCTGTGGGGCAGGGTCTGGGGCGCTGCCTGTGGTGGGAGCCGAGGGCTGAGGCCCGGCTCATGCGCCGGAGCGTATGTGTTCTGTCCTAGTCCGATTCCGACAAGCTGGAGTTCCTGAGGGCTGTGGAAACCTTGAGTGGTGCTGTCCGTGCCCAGGCAAATGGCAGTATGAACGACTACTTTCCCAAAATCATTCTGGCCAAGAAAATTGAGGTGAGAAAGACCTAAATTCTTCTGGGAGTTGGTCGCCCGGATGAAGATGGCAGTCACAGACGGGAGGGCTGGCGTCTCTCTCTGAGGGAATTCTTGCTTCTTCCCGGCCCTCCTAGATCTTAATCCTTGAAGAATCCACCGAGGTCTTGACCAGCTATGTTCGTCAGCAAGCCATGCTCTGCGTCGTGGCCCTGAGGTCCCTTCTTGCTGGCCCCTCCTGAGTCTCTGCTGCTGAGGACCTTTGGGTTGGGAGGAAGGGGGAGGGCTGGGGACTCAGTTTTGGGGCGAGAGGCAGGGCCCCATGATTGCCACCACCACATTCTGCGGCAGTGGGCGTATCTCCCAATTCTGCTATTAGAAGCCGATTAGGACCTCCAGGGTGGGGGAAGCTCCCCTAGAAGCCAGGTCCTCCTTCCCTGGCTAGGGGGCCACCAGGACATGTTTTGGGGCTCAGGCCCCTGCTTATCCCTGCGCCCCAGAGAGTGGAGCAGAACAGTCTCTTCCCTAGGAAGCCTAGCCTCCCGCAGATGTCCTCCAAAGTCCTCCGTGGTTCCTCCGTTCTCCCCCCAGCCAGGTGAACCCACCGTTCTGCTCATCCCAGAAGCTGGACCTGGTGAACGCTGGCGTCTCCAGCACGTTCTCCCTGCCACTCATTGTGCCCAGCCTAGACCGGAAGGAGAGTGCCAGTCTCTACATCCAGGTAATCCCCCCCGTGGGCCCCGGCTGGAGCTCTCCGAGGCGACGATAGGTCTTTGGCGGCTTCGTCCTGGCCTCTCTGTCCCCTGCCCCCACCTCAGGAGCCCCTGGCCCCAGAGCCCCGTGCTGCTCAGAGTCCCTTGGGCCCTGTCAGCCTCCTGTCCCCCAGGGAGCAGCCCCTGCTTCCCCCACCACAGCCTCTCGCCAGGCTCTTGGTTCTCTAGCTCCAAGGCAGCCTCCGTCTTAGGAGGAGAAACCCACAGATCCCATCACATAACTGGCCACAGACAGGCAATCTCCTCCAGAATTTTCAGTTTTAAATAGAGAAGCTTCCTTAATCCAACAGAAGGGGGGGTCCCACAGGGGCCGCGCTCGTTGGCCTAGAGTTTGGGGCTGGTCCTGCTCAGTGAGGTCAGGAAAGGTAGATGGGAGCGTGGCGGCAGGGCTGGGCTGTCCCCACTTCCCGTCCCCGTGGGGAGGGTCCAAGGGAGGTGGGGGTTGCCCCAGGGAGCCCTGCCGGCGTCGGGCTGTGGTGCTCCTGGGCCCTGGTCTCTTCATCTCCCAGACTGTCCAGGCCTTAGATGACATGTTACAAGCTCTCATAATGGACGGTGTGTACCCCAACATGGCCCTGCTGCAGCGCGTCCTGGAGGTACGTGGCTGTGGAAACCAGGGAAACCAAAGCCTAGGTGTACCTGCTATGTCAGGAGGAAAGGAAGGAATATTAGCAGAGCATGGGTGTCATTCCAGCCCGAAGCCCAGGTTCTCTGACCTTGGTGTGTGTGACAATAACCCGGAGACAAATTCCTGCATCTCTCTCTGTCATTAGAGCCTTTCAAATATTCTTAGTTATGATAAGTTGTCATTTTCTGGGGGTGAGTTTGAACTGGGGAAATGGCTGAGAGTCACTTGAAACCAACTTTCATGAACAAATTGAAAATTATTAGGGTAATTAATTTTGGATAAAACATTAGGTGTGACTACAAATAAGGAGATAAGATGGCAGAGATAGCTTACAAAAAAGCCTGGACGCGGGCCCTGTCTAGCCAGGAAATGTGTCTGTATTGGGATTCGTGACGTCATTCCTTTGGACTGTACCAATTCTGGTCTGTTTGTTCAGAGGCATTGTGCTGTGTAGACGACTGTGTGTAGGTGTGTCAGAAGATGTGCACTGTCAGGGGAGTTCACAGGAGGGGGGGAGGTGCTGAATTCTGGTCCCGGATCAGGTGGGGTCCTCAGGGAATCCATTACTGGGGTCCTCGTTATCCAAAGATCAATGGCACCCCCCCCCAGCCCATACACACACAAATCACCACTTTTATAGAAAATAGTCGGGAAAATTGGTTTATGTGATAAATGAAATTAAACTGATAAAAATAAGATATATTTACATACAATAAAATTTAGATCCTATTTTCTATGTTGAGGTAATTCTCAAGAAAAATCAAGCGTGGGTATTTTTGACATAGATTTTCCTACAGAATTACATGATAGAAGAATAAAAGATCATTTATTTCACATTTGACTTTGCACAGCAGGGTCAGGAAGAGGGTCATCTTTGCAAAAATATGTAAGATCTGAACAGTTTTCCCAAGGGTTCTTCTTCATTTATGTATTTATTTTTGGTCTTTGTATTTTTCATATTTTTATTAAGGTATAATGTACAGGCAGTATCATTCATATTTTCTAGTTAATAACTCTGTGGGTTTTGACAGATGTGTACAGCCATGTAAATACAACCACTATCAAGCTACAGAGCTGTTCTGCCATCCCTCAGCTTTCCCCTCCACCCACCCCAGACCCTGGCTGTCCCTACAGTTTTGCCTTCTCTAAAATGTCCTGTAAATGGAATCATATAGTATAGCTATATATATATATACTATATAGTATATAGAATCATATATATAGTTCATGTCTGTCTTCTTTCATTTAGCAGAGTGTATTTGAGATTCATCCATACTGTTGTATGTATCACTAATTTGTTCCTTTTCGTCACTGTCTGGATGGATCACCGTTTGTATATCCATTCTCCAGCTGAGAAAATTTGGGCCATTTCCAGTTTGGAGTGATTACAAACAAAACTGCTATAAATCCCTGCATATAAGATTTTGTATGAACATAGGTTCTTTATTTCACTTGGGAAAATTCTTAAAGGGGAATTGCTGTGTTGTGTGGCACGTGTTTGTTTAACTTTCTAGGAAAATTCCAAAGGATTTTGCAAACTGGTTCTATAATTTTGCATTCGCACCAGCCATGTATGAGAGTTCTGATCTCTCTGCATCCCTGGTGTCATTAGCATGTTTTATTTCAGTCATTTTTATAGCTGCAGAGTAGTATCTCTTTGTGGTTTTAACTTGCATTTCCTAGAGATTCATGATGGTGAGCTCTTTTTATGGATTAATTTGCCATCTGTATATCTGCTGTGGTAAAATGTCTGTTCAAATCATTTGCCCTTTTTCAAAATTAGGTTGTTATCTAATTTATGAGTTCTGAGAGCTCTTCATATATTCTGGATATGTCTTTTGCCAGTATGAGATTTACAGATATTTTCTCCCATTTTGTGGCTTGTCTTTTTATTCTTTTAATAGTGTCTTTTGATGAGCAGCAGGTATCTGTTTTGATGAAGTCCGAAACTTGGACTTCATCTTATCCAAGAAGTGTTGCCTAACCTAAGGTCTCAAATATTTTCTCCTATTTTCTTCTGGAAGCTTATAGGTTTTAAATTTATGTCTGTCATCAATTCTGAATTGATTTTTGTGTTGGGTGTCAGAAATGTGTGGTGGTTCATTAATTTTAATTTTAATTTTTTTGCACCATCCACGATAGGGTGTAATGCTCTGGCAGCAGGACTGCCTGGAGGGCACCTACCCAGCTACGAAGGCGGGACACACTTTTCCCACTGTTTGCACCGAGCAGGACACAGGCCTCTCCCCACTGGTGGGACCTCAACCTGTGTTATAATAAGAATAATACCTGTGTCATGGAGCTGATGGGAGGATAAAGTGATTTATTATATAGAGAACATGTACCTGTGGTCACCAGGAGTATTGCTATTAATGTCCAGAAATGAATGTTCTGAATCTCAGCCTTTTGATGCCTTCCGCGCTGTCCCTGGCTTTGGGGGAGTTTGCACAGCTATGCAGCCAAGAGAAAGCCCTCTCTCCACCTTACCCCACCCCTCCTCGCCCTCTGCTTTGCAGTTCTACCTCCAAGGTGCAGCACCGGCTTTAAACATTCCTCTTGGGAGAGACTCGGGTGGTAAGAGGTGAAAAGCTAGAGACTGAAACACACTTTGCCAAGTTCACGGGGCTGGCACCCGCTGAGGCCTCCACCTGTTTGTTCCTCGGGGCAAGTGCCACTGAGACAGCACCTGTCATCTCTGGGGCAGTGGGGGGATGTGGACTCAGGCCCCAAAGGAAGGGTCAGTGCGCCCACGCAGGGGTGGGCGGGGTCTCCTCTCCTCTCCAGGTCATCTTGCCTTGGCTAACAGTCTCGGAGAAAGCGCACGAGCAGTCGCGTGCCGCGGGCATCATTTCCAGGATGCTGAGGTTTATCTGCAATTTCCCTGAGCTGTCGGTGAGTCAGGGGGTGGGGGGCGGGGGAGACAGACCCGGCGGGCCCGCTCCTCTGCCCGTGGGGCGCCTGCCAGGGGTAGCTGGAGGGTGGCCCTATCCCACCCCTAAGGGACATCGCCCTTGGCCCAGTGAACTCCAAATGGCTGGACCCATCTCAGCTTTGGGGGGCACCCTGACCTGGTCAGCTGGCTAGCGCGTCTCAGGGGTCTGAGTACGATTCCCTTGCCAGGGCAGCAGGTGGAGCCGGTGAGGTGGGCCACAGCCAGGCCGCTGACCTGGTGTGGTGGGAAGGGCATGCTCAGGGTGCAGAGCTCAGGGTGGGAGTTGCTGCTCCGGGTGATGGAGAAGGAACCAGCTCCCCTCCCGGCAGCGCATGGAGGAGTTCTCTACGAGCGGGACCCTCATGGGCACCCTGGGGCTCTTCTGCATGAACTCCAGCTGCGAGACCAGCGCGGGGGCGTCGGAGGCCTTGCACTACTTGTTCAAAGTCCTTGCGCTTCATAGGAGTGAGTGATGTGAGGCTGGGTGGCCGTGTGGCTGCAGGGTGGGGACCGGAGCAGCACCAGTTGCCGGGGGCCCCCTGGGGCGCAGGGCCCTGGGTACACATGCTTCCTCTGTGAGGGCTCCCCTGTCACTGATGCAGTGCTTCCTTTGAGAAGATTCGATGACATTCTTGGGACAGGGGGCAAGGCCTGCAGCCGTTCTGGAGCGGCCCACGCCCCTGCTGGGTGTCACACTGGGGAAGCGAGCTTCCTTTCTCAGGCACACACAGGAATCCCTGATCTAGACCTTCTCTGCCCCACCAGGAGAAGCAGGCACAGACAGCCACTCACACCTGCCGGGCTGCTGCAGGAATTTGCCAGCATCCCCCTAAGGGAGCGTCAGAAAGCTTAGGTTTTTGTGATTCACTGGGACCTGCCCCTGTGAGGGCGTCCCCTCAGCGGAGGGCGGGGGTGCTGGGAACAGTCCGGGTTGGGGGTGCGTCTGGTGCAGGAGCAGCAGCTGCCCGTGGAGTCCCCCTCCTCTGGCCTGGCGCTGGGGACTTTCCCGCTCTGTTGGGGAGGTCCCTGCACCCACTGGAGCCCGGTGCTCTCCAAGGCCTGGAGGGGAAGTCGGGAGGGTGTGCTTCCCATGGAGGCCCTGCCCCTGAATTGTTGTTTTGGGATGGAGGTGAGAAGCCGAAGACCGAGGCCGTCCTGAAGGATTTACAGAAGCATTTCCGCGGGGAGTGGCTTGCCAGCATTCAGGACCTCGCCATGGTATGCTAGCTGTCCCGGGTACGGTGCCCGAGGGGGCTGGCTGGGGGACAGGAGGGCTGAGGAGAGATTGCCAAGGCCTGGCTGGGGCCACAGAGAGGGCACCGCGCACGGGGGCTGTATCCAGCTCAGGGGCTCCTGGGCTGCTCGCTTGAGGAGTGAGGCCCCTCCCCTAGCTGCGCGGGAGTTGATTGAAGTTTGAGGTCATTGAGAGAGTTTTAAAGGCGTCGTCAGCCCTACTGCCCATGCACATGGCGCCCCTGCACCCTCGCGGGCCTCAGCTTTAACTCCCTACCTCCGCAAAGGCGAACCGCCTCTCAGGTATGGTGTCCGGGGCTCAGCCAACTCCAGTCTCACCAGCCACAAACCCGGCATCGTCCTTTGCTCTTTCCTCCTCCTCGCTGCCCACATCCAGGTCAGTCCCGTACCCGTCCACTCTAGCTCCTAAATAGCTCTTGGCTCCATCCAGTCGGCCCAGCCCCACCAGGGAGGTCCTGGTGCAGTTTGCCACCACCGCTTCCCGGGTCACTGCCCAGCCTCCTCCGACAGCCCCGTTGCCAGCCATGCCCCATGCCCCTTACCTGCATGGCTCCCACTGCACCAGAACCACCTGCTTACCTGCCCCACCTTGGCCGTGAGTTCCTCTAGGGCAGAAGCATCAGGGGCCTTGTGGGTGGGCTTCCCCAGCTCCCGGCAGTGGAGGCGCAGAGCCGGGACCCAGTGCCCCGGGCGAGCAGGCGGTGCTGGTGTGCTCAGACGCGAGGCCCAGCTGATGTGGGCCACAGTGGCCGCTTCTCGCTTTGCATTGCTGTCAACTCACTAAGCATCAGAACTCATTTCCGAATGGAATCACCTCATTGCATTCCAGATTGAGAAGAGAAATGCCTTTCGCGGCGCTCTCTGTACCGTGTTGTCTGGGCCATTGTTCTGCCTGGGGACTTGAGAGCTGGGGACTTCTGGAGCTTGGCCTCACACACGGCATAGTCAGATGCTGGCCACAGACGGCCTCTACAGGACCCTGGTTGCCAGGTCTCTGGAGTCCAGGGCAACCCCAGAGCGGGAAGTGGACATTGCAGAGACCCCTTTGTTCTCTTTTCAGTTCTTCCAGAAATACCTGACCCCCGAGGAGAGGGCAGATCTGATGATGGTGTCAGTGGAGGCCATGAGCAGAGACAGCAGGCATGACGTCTATGCAGCTTCCGAGCTGTTGAGGATGATCCTGAAGTGCTCTGTGCCAGAGATAGGGAAGGTAGGGACTTCACTGTGCAGGGTCAGTTTAAGGATTCCCCCTTTCTGTTCTGTTCTGGATTTTGTCCTGTTTCATTCCCTACTGGTTGGGGTTTAAGGAATCCCGATCCTTTAACTAAACCAGAGCAGGAAACGTTAATGATGGAGTTGTTTGCAGGTGTATGAAAGATGGTCGGGTAACCACCTGGCTTCCACCTCCCCCGGGAAGGGAAGGGGGTAGAGTCATAGCTATAGCAGGAGCCTGCCGTGGGCCTCCAGGACCAGGCGCCACCTGTCCCCCCTCCTGCCTCCAGATAGTGTCAGGCCCGTGGGCGCCTTCCTCTTCACTCAGGTGGGAGAATGTGCAGCCAAGACGGGGTTTTATATATATGGACTTGGGAGTCCCTGACACAACCAGAGATGGAATACGGAGGCTGTTGTCAGACGTGGGACTGGTTCTCAGGAAAACCGAGACAGCACAGTCTATCCTTATTTGTCCTCATTATGCCATCTGAAAAGATCCTGTGGACCGATGGAGTCGCTCTCATTTTAGTGGCCTAACCGGCTCCAGCCGTCTCTGGATGCCTCCCACAGTAGGTCCGGCTAGCAGTACTGTTCCAGCCTCTCAGGCCTGGAGGGCCATCCGGACGCCTCCGAGCGGACTGGATAAGCCCCTAGAGGCGAAGGGTCCCAGAGGCCAGGCTGCCAACCTCCCACTTGATGACCGGAATCCCTTCTGGAGGGCCTGATCCTCGAGCAGCCAGATTCTGCCGAGAGCTGCTGAGAAGCTCACTGCCAAGCCATCGCTTGTTCTTATTTGTGGACCACTTTCATCATCACCTTAGAGTGGGACAAACTCTCTGAAAGTTCTACCTTACAGTGAACTGAATTCTGCGTTCTCGTAGTTTCCTAGCCCAAGTTTGCTTTCTGGGTGATACAAAATTCAACTGATACTCGGGTTTTACCAATACTAGATGCACGCACTGTGCTAGCCTCAGTCACGTGTTATTTAATTCTTACAATGGGTCTGTGAGGAAGTAACTGATTTCTCTTTAGAAATGGGAAAAAGGCTCAAGGAGGCCATAAGTCTTAATAACGGGTTTATTCAGCACTCGTGTGACAGACACCTTTCTGACCAGTTTAGACGTGCCAACTCTGAACAGCTGGGGTGCATAAAATTGTTCTCGTTTTCTGTATGAATAAATAAAGCATAGAGAGGATGGACATCTTGCCTAAGGCCACACAGCTGGTAAGGAAGGAGGTGAGGCACCCATCGGGGCTGTGTGACTCCAGGGCCCTTGCTGTTCACCGCGCGGCAGCCCCGCCAGGAAGCAGGGAGGGCTGAGCCGCCCCTCCCTCTACGGTGGGCTTCACGCCGCCTGTCCTCCCCTCTCCAGTTACGTGTCCCCAGACTCTTGCTTCATTCTGTGTGACATGGTTCCCACACGTGCCTCCTGTTTCTTTCTCTGCTGGTCTGCATTCTGTCCCTCTTACAATATGGGGGGCAGGACAGCTCCAGCCCTGCCGATGTGGCCTGACCAGGGCAGAGCACAGCCGGCAGGGCCTTCGGTCTGGACGTCCATGTACGCGTCCGTGCGCGGCCCCACGCTTCGTGCGGTGCCTGGTCACGCGGCTCCTGATATGTGGGGTCTAGAGTCAGGAAGAATCTCGCTCCTGTTTTCCCCACTTCAGGTGCCAGAAATCATCCAATACATTTACCACAATATGAGCAGCATCACTGAGCCTACAGCCCAAGAGACCATAAGGAAGGTCCTTCACCTGCTCGCCCAGAGCCACACCGAGGACGTCATCCTGACACTGTTCAGGATGCAGGATCAGTCACAAAGGTGGGTAGCCCTGCAAACCCCAGACTGACAAGCCCTTGATCGTCTTTTAATTTGCTTATTCTTAAAATGTATCCAATTTTTAATTTAAGTTCCTTATTTATTTGGGGTAAGGTGACTATAAAAGTAATGTGGGCTAATTGCAGAAAATTGGAAAGCATACAAAATTTTGGAAACAAAGAAAAATTTAATTCCATTCAAAGTCAAAGGCAACCACTGCTATCACTTGGGTATAATTTGTAATCTGTCTACTTTTAAAAAATGGTTTTTAAAAATGTATAATCAATTTCATACTGTATATACCAATTTGCATATTTTCCCTTTAACATTTTATCATCGTGTTTTCCCAAGTTAAAACCCTTTTTATAAACATAATTTTGGTAGCTGCCTAATGTTAGATTGTATGGGTATGCTACACTATAATTTCCTTTTTGAAACTTAAAAATTTTTAATTTATATGCAGTGAAATTCACCCTTTTGTTATACAGTTCTACAGGTTTTTTCAAATGTATAGTCATAACCATCACAATGTCAATCAAGACACAAAGCATTTCCATCACCTGAAAAAAGCCCCTCATGCTGCCCTTTTTTGGCATCAGCTTCTTTCCCTGCTCCAGCCACTGGCAACCACTAGTCTTTTCTCTATTCCTATCGTATCTGCCTTTCCCAGAATGTCATGTAAATAGAATCATACAGTACAATCCATACAGTACAAAATAGAATCATACTTTTGAGTCTGGCTTCTTTCATTTAACATAAGACATTTGGGGTTCACCCAGGTTATTGTGTCAATAGTTCACTCCTCTCATGGCTGAAGAGTGTCCCGCTGAATGGATATACCACAGTGTGTTTATCCCTTTACCTATTTGGTTGTTTCTAATTTTTAGTAATAGTGAAAAACTGCTGCTATAAATATTTGTGTATAGGTTTTTGTGTAAACATTAGCTTTCACTTTTCTTGGCTAAATTCCTAGGGCTCCCATTGCTGGGCAATATGGGAGGTATATGTTTAACTTTAAAAGAAACTGTCAAATATTTTTTCTCAGTTACTATAGCATTTGCATTGCTACCAGCAATATATGAAAGTTCCAGTTGTTCTCATCCTGTCCATACTTGGTATCATCATTGAAAAAAATTTAGCCCTTCTGAATGTGTAATGGTATCTCATTGTTTTACTTTGTATTTCCCAAATTTAATTGCAATTAATGATGTTGAGCATGATTTCATATATTTATTTGCCATTTATATGTATTCTCTGGTCAAGAGTCCAGATCTTTTACTCATTTCTTAATTGGGTTGCTTGTTTTCTTATTGTTGAGTTTTGAGAGTTCTTTATATATTCTGGATACAAGTCTTTTGTCATATATATGATCTTTAAATGTTTCTCCCATTTTTTGGATTTTCTTTTCATTCTCTTAAGAGTGTCCTTTGCAAAACAAAGTTTTTGACTTGATAAGGTCCAATTTATCTTGATTTTTCTCTCATAGATTGTGTTTAAGGTCACAGACTTTTTCCTATGTTTTCTTCTAGAAATATCATACTTTTGTGTTTTATATTTAAGTGTATGATTCATTTTTAGTTAATTTTTATAAGGTGTGAGGAATGAATCTAGGTTTAGCTTGTTGCAATAGACATCTGTCCTCCCATTATTTGTTGAACAGACTAGCCTTTCTCCATTGAATTGCCTTTCCACCTTTATCAAAAATCAAGTGACCCTATTTGTGTGGGTATATTTATGGGCTCTCTGTTTGGTTCCATTGATCTACATTTCAGTTCTTTCATCAATACCACACTCTTGAATAGTGTAACTTTATATTAAGTCTAGAAATCACATAGTATGAATCCTCTAATTTTTTAAACTCTTTTTCAAAATTTGGCTCTTCAATTTCCTTTGCTTTTCCATATAATTTTTAAAATTTATATGCATTGTTACTTCTTTAAAAAATATGCTGATGATATTTTTTTATTGGAATTGTGTTACACCTATAGGTAAGTGTGAGGAGAACTGACTTCTTCACAATATTGACTACTAATCCACAAACATGGTATACATCTCTCCATTTATTTAAGTCTGCTTTGGTTTCTTTTGTCACTCTTCTTGAATCTGATGATGTATGTTTCACACCAAATTTGGGAAGTTTTAGGTCATTATTTCTTCAGATACTTTGTACCAGTACCTTCCTTCTTTTAATGACATGAATGTTAAGCTTTTTGATGGTGTCACAAATCTCCGAAGCTCTGTTAATTTTTTCTGATTTCTTTGTTTTTCTGATTGTATAATATTTTTTTTTGAGAGGGCATCTCTCATATTTATTGATCAAATGGTTGTTAACAACAATAAAATTCTGTATAGGGGGGGTCAATGCTCAATGCACAATCATTAATCCATCTCAAGCCTAATTCTCAACAGTCTCCAATCTTCTGAAGCATAACGAACAAGTTCTTACATGGTGAACGAATTCTTACATAGTGAATAAGTTCTTACATGGTGAACAGTGCAAGGGCAGTCATATCATGGAAACTTTCGGTTTTGATCACGCATCATGAACTATAAACAATCAGGTCAAATATGAATCTTCGTTTGATTTTTATACTTGATTTATATGTGGATCCCACATTTCTCCCCTTATTATTATTATTATT